CATTGTCCGACTGATTATTTGCTGATTATTTCTGTTTTTGAACTTGCATTAACTTGTTTCAAAATGTGTCAACCACGCAAATTCACATAGTGTATAATTATTTTCAGTTTGTTGCTGTATTTGGAGACTCGCAAATGCGTTCAGTGATAGAAGGACTTGTATTGCCACCGATTGACTTAAAGTTGGAGTATGGATTTAATTCTACTCCTGGTGGTCGGTGCAAAGACATCTTAGTTTAAATGGAACATTCGTCACTACCAAAACATCCGGAGTTCGTAGTTATCCAGGCCTGCACAAATGATCTTAATGGAAGAGAAGGTTATGCACAAGGGATTACAGATTTAGAAAACTTGCCCCGAGCAACTAAACGTAAATTTCCGGGAGGTCGGGTGAGTACTGAACAATTTTCCGAAATATCATTACGATTCTGTGTGCGTAAAATGATTCGCGATTTCCCTTATAATACTGGCACCTTATACAGTTGAATTACACTTCAATCATTTTACTATTCAAAAAAAAATCCATTAGTTCATACTTTTACATTTCTCGTAAATGATAATAGAAAATCTTTTTCTCTTTCCATGGGCCTAGCAACCCATGCAGAATCTGGCCGGTTTATGGCATGAATGTCACAGTTATTTATCCTCTATTCACAAGTTTATTTTAAATTATAGCGGATTAATCAGAGTAAAAGATGCTATAAATCCGTTTATGCACTTTATTGGTGTCGGACTGACACCGTTTCAAACAAAAAATGTCGTGTCGCGTGGATCAATCCCCATCAATGCGTTATATATTTATCGTCATTATATTATATCATATCAACTGTATTTCTAATGTATTTTCGAGACCCAGACACTTTAAATCTTTTAAAATATCGGTTAAGCCATGGAGCTAAAAACCAAGGAGCTTGCTCCATGGTTAAACGAAATGGAATTAACTTATATAATTTAACTTGCATGTTACTCACGTTATACTAGTATTATATAACACGTTATTATGATATACTAACTTTATTATAACTTATGTGTGTGTTCTGGCAGTGAACGGAATATCGTGTTGTAACATGATTAAAATTTAAACTATATGTATATTATTTTTTTACTGTCTATAAACTGTATTATTCTTTATAGTTGTGTGTACCACTGTGTAGAACAGGACGTGTACACGTTAAACCGGCGATAACAGTTCTAAATATGTGATAATAAGTTATCGCCGTCGATCATTCGTTTGTGAGATGTATTCATGTTCATCTTATTTCTAACTCCCGATGTGTATATATTTGTGTGACTGTTTATATTTACCTACGCACGTTGTTGAATTCAACATATTTTTCATATGTGACCGAGAAATGTCACGATTTACTGCGCAATAAAAAAAAATATGGTTAGCTATCTACGTCAACGCCACTGTGGCATTATTAGACCTCATCATATTATTGATACCCCCATGTATAAATTACCATGCCCACCTTATGTCGGTATAGCATTTTCAGTGAGAATCAGATATGAAGCCGCATCACACGTATATAAAGGCTAAATAATCACCACGAATACGTTACCGTTTCCTTCCTATTTGATATGTACCACCTTGGTGATTTATGTGTTTACACTTTATTAATAGATCATGTATGTCGGTATCTTACCGAGACTTGACGAGCGTCGCGGCGATGTTAAAAAGTACAACGCCGCATTTAAAGAAGTTACAGAAAAACATGATATTAGGTTTATTGACGCTACAGAAGAGTTCAACCCGTTCGAGAAAAGTTTGTGGTCAGCTAAGGACGGAGTCCATCTTAGTGACAATTTAGGGTTGCCAAAACTGCTTTCCATTCTTCATCGGAGCATTACCTCATACCAAAGGCCTCCCGAAGAATGGCAAAGTAGTTTGCAGGGCAATTCTATTTGTATTCAGACACCCAAAACACCACAACTCAACATAAAAACGAGTTCATCAATGTCGTCTTTGTCATATTCAATTAATAAGCGTAAAATCAAAACACTGACAAAAAATGAAGATATAAATAATATTACCCCAATGGAAGATCACTTGACGGCGACAATTTCATTCGCCAGGTGAGTACTAATATTAATAAATATTTAACCAATTAATATAAATTAAGAAACTGCAAGAAACAAAGTAACAATTAATGAGCGCAACTTACACAATGATGGCATAAGTTTAATAGTTTCAATTTTGTTTTGTCTATATACACGAAGTGTTAATATGTCGTTGCTTGGTAATACTGATTTATTTCACGTGTCTACTTTTCATCTATTCACTTTAAAGTAAAGTAACCTTGATTATGACGATCGGACGCAGTTTTGGTACCAGATCACTTACAAAACTAAATATTACTTGTAACTGTATTGTTTATTGTAGGTCAAGTGAACACAGTGTATCTGATTTGGTTGCGGTGATTGACCCGAAATATTCGTCACTATATCGAGTGAGTATTTAATGGCAATTGTGGTGTTAAAACAACTGCGTGTATGTGTGTTGTGTAATATAATACAGCCGTACATTCTTTTTCACAATACAGAAGCACGGTGTTAAAAATGATCATCGCACATCGAACCATAGAGCGAAAAACAAGAGCTACCGAAAAACAAATTCTAATGAACGGGAGATTGTCCTAAAAAAGAAGACTTTCAAAAACGTAAATACGATTACATCCTTCAAATAAACATGTAATAATATTCAAGTTGCACTATTTTGTAATGCGGAGATATGATTTTTAACTAATCATAATCTTATTAGATCGTTTTTTATGTTTATAAGCTCTTTGTGTCTCTGGACTATTCACTGGAGGGGGAACAAAGAGAGACAACGGTAAACTACAGACAAACAATAGTACGAAATACAACGAAGGACGAGGAGTCATTAAATACTGGTAATCATTGTGAGGTAGGACAAGAAATTAATAAATTATTTGGGGGAGATAGATTGTATCACACAAAGAATCGTCATCGAAGTATGGACTACGCTGAGTTTGCCCAAGCAATTTTTAAAGCTCGCCATCATTTTAATAGTCTCGATATTGACAACAATGCAGTGTGGAGGTTTGTAGCAAACGAATTGAAGTGGCCGACTCGAAAAGATTGTGTAAAGTATTTCAAACTAATTTGGCGCGAAAATAGAGGACATGTTCAAGAACGAGTAAGCAATATTTTTGAAACAAAGCATTTAGAAGATTGCGAAAATAAATCCATAGCCTGCACAAATCAACCGAAATTGGTCCGCAAGAGAAGAGCTAAATACAGGGAATCGGGAATTTGGTGTACAGACACTAAAAAGATAAAAGCGCGTCATTGTGTGTGCGATAAACCAGATGATGGTAAACTGTATATTGAATGCCAATCTTGTTTAAAAATGGTATCATTTTGAATGTATGAAACTAGATAAAAAATATTCCGGTTCAGAAATAAATTTTGTATGTGGATTGAATGGATGTAATAGGGGGGAATCACTAGTTAACTATAATAAAGATATAAATGTTGATCCATCTCAGGAACGCCAACATAACATGGATGCTGAAGGCAGTCATAATGTTGGTGAACAAACAACTAAACACTCGCCCAATTACCAAAATTGTTTGACGCAATCGGCAATTGAGCAAACCACGACAACGGATTTACATTGCTCAAACCAGAACAACATTTCGAACACAATGAGTCGTTTTCATACTTTCACCACCAAAGTGAGTGCGACGAAAATTTAACAAATTCACTTGTAACTGAAACTAAAATTAAAACAAAAATATACCATGAAAGTACCGTATTGGACGACACTAGTCTACACAATAATAGTCTACAATGTAACGAGGAAACCTTTTCAGATTTTAATGGCGAATGTACTCCAACGAGTCAAATACCAGAAAATGCAATCATAACTACAGACAGACAATCTGAAACTCATGAACAGTGCCACGTAACAAAACGAAGTGCTACTGTAAAAAAAGTTCCTGATCAAACTAGGAAAGAAATGTTTTCATATACGCAAAACGAGTGTCGATTGCACACAACACCGGATAAAAAACATGAAGTGTCCGACGCGGAATCAATGGATTGCAATAGCGACGCTGATATTAGTGCAGAAAATGACAACGAAAACAAAAAGGTGTTATTAAAAAATAAATATCACGACAAAAAGCCACTAAACCAATGTTCAGATTCTGGCATATTGTCTCCACTATCCAATGATACATTTGATGCAATAATGGGAGATTTGAATGTAGACGGATTTTTCAGAGTAACACTAAACTCGGAGCGAGCGACTTTTAAAATCAATGAAAAGGAATGGGACAGTCTTAAAAAAAGGCAGCAAGGTAGGACTTTCCCCCGCGGATTATGGCAACATTTGATTACCAAAGGCATTAATGAATCAAACAGGTATTGCGTTTTTAATTTTAAACGTCACCAAGTATCAATAGCAACATCACGCCGTAGAGTTAATTCCATATTTTCAGCAAAGGGCCAATGTTCATTTTCAGACTGCCCAATTGATGTTAATGTTATAGAGTGACAACATTTTGTGCCGGACTGTGACTAATATTATTTTAATCTACTGTTAGTATTCTCTCGATTGATATATAATATTAGAAAATAAATTTGATTTTGATGTGAGTGCAGCCGATTTAATTATGAATAATGTCGCTTTTTGTGCGAAAAACTTGAAATATAGGCCAAGTTTAGGGCGTGGTTACAGAGTGACAACGTTTTGTGTCAGACAGTGACTAATATTATTTTAATCTACTATTAGCCCTCTCTCGATTGATATATAATATTCGAAGATAAATTTGTTTTTGAAGTTACTGTAGCCGATTTGACTGAATGAAATAACGATGTTTTGCCAAAAACGTGAAATATAGGACAAGTTTAGGGCGTGGCTACATCGTAGCAACATTTTGTGCCGGACTGTGACTAATATTATTTTAATCTACTGTTAGTATTCTCTCGATTGATATATAGTATTGGAAAATAAATTTGTTTTTGATGTGACTCCAGCCGATTTAATTTGAATGAAATAACGATGATTTGCCAAAAACGTGAAATATAGGACAAGTTTAGGGCGTGGCTACATCGTAGCAACATTTTGTGTCGGACAGTGACTAATATTATTTTAATCTACTATTAGCCCTCTCTCGATTGATATATAATATTTGAAAATAAATTTGTTTTTGAAGTGACTGCAGCCGATTTGACTGAATGAAATAACGAGTTTTTTGCCAAAAAAGTGAAATATAGGACAAGTTTAGGGCGTGGTTAGAGAGTGACAACGTTTTGTGCCAGACTGTGACTAATATTATTTTAATCTACTGTTAGTATTCTCTCGATTGATATATAATATTGGAAAATAAATTTGTTTTTGATGTGACTCCAGCCGATTTAATTTGAATGAATTAACGATGATTTGCCAAAAACGTGAAAAATAGGCCAAGTTTAGGACGTGGTTACAGAGTGACAACATTTTGTGCCTGACAGTGACTAATATTATTTTAATCTACTATTAGCCCTCTCTCGATTGATATATAATATTCGAAAATAAATTTGTTTTTGAAGTGACTGCAGTCGTTTAGAATGAATGAAATAAAGAATTTTTGTGCGAAAAACGTGAAATATAGGCCAAGTTTAGGGCGTGGTTACAGAGTGACAACATTTTGTGCCTGACAGTGACTAATATTATTTTAATCTACTATTAGTCCTCTCTCGATTGATATATAATATTCGAAAATAAATTTATTTTTGAAGTTACTGCAGCCGATTTGACTGAATGAAATAACGATGTTTTGCCAAAAACGTGAAATATATGACAAGTTTAGGGCGTGGCTACATCGTAGCAACATTTTGTGCCGGACTGTGACTAATATTATTTTAATCTACTGTTAGTATTCTCTCGATTGATATATAATATTGGAAAATAAATTTGTTTTTGATGTGACTGCAGCCGATTTAATTATGAATAATGTCGCTTTTTGTGCGAAAAAACGTGAAATATAGGCCAAGTTTAGGGCGTGGTTATAGAGTGACAACATTTTGTGCCTGACAGTGACTAATATTATTTCAATCTACTATTAGCCCTCTCTCGATTGATATATAATATTGGAAAATAAATTTGTCTTTGAAGTGACTGCAGCCGTTTAGAATGAATGAAACAGCGCATTTTTGTTCCAAAAACGTGAAATATAGGCCAAGTTTAGGGCGTGGTTACAGAGTGACAACGTTTTGTGCCGGACAGTGACTAATATTATTTTAATCTACTATTAGTCGTCTCTAGATTGATATATAATATTGAAAAATAAATTTGTTTTTGATGTGACTGCAGCCGTTTAGATTGAATGAAATAACGAATTTTTGTGCCCAAAACGTGAAATATAGGCCAAGTTTAGGGCATGGCTACAGAGTAACAACGTTTTTAACCGGATTGTGACTAACATTATTTTAATCTACTATTAGCTCTCTCTCAATTGATATATAATATTGGAAAATAAATTTGTCTTTGAAGTGACTGCAGCCGTTTAGATTGAATGAAATAGCGCATTTTTGTTCCAAAAACGTTAAATATAGACCAAGTTAGAGCGTGGCTACAGAGTGACAACGTTTTGTGCCGGACAGTGACTAACATTATTTTAATCTACTGTTAGTATTCCCTCGATTGATATATATTGGAAAATAAATTTGTTTTTGATGTGACTGTAGCCGTTTAGATTGAATGAAATAACGATTTTTTTGTGCCAAAAACGTTAAATATAGGCCAAGTTTAGTGCGCGGCTACAGCGTGGCAACATTTTGTGCCGGATTGCGACTAATATTATTTTAATCCACTGTTAGTATTCTTTCGATTGATATATAATAATCAAAAATAACTTTTTGATTACAAATAATTAATTACAAATAATATTGCATCCGTTGGGCCAAAACGTGAAATATTGCTCATACATGGGCATCGATCTTGAAACGCAATATATATATATTCATTTTTTTTTGTTCGCCGCAAACTAATATATAATGTGTAAAACTATGATTGTTTTGTTATAATATTGAATGAGCAATTTAAATTGAAAGCGAACGAGGCTGTTAATAATCGATTGTACTGTCAGCCTGTTATTATTCGATGGTACTGTCAGCCAAGTACACTGGGATAGAGTTTAGCACTTGTATGGCTTCATTGTACTTACGTTGAAGATACTTACCAAAAACAATAAATTTGGTTACCAAATATGATTATTTTAGTCATACCATGAATGTACAGCACAAAAAACGCCAAACAATA